GGCCCCGCGCGTCACGTCGCCCCCGTGCGCGTTCGCGCCGAGGCCCCCGCGCTCCCCCCGAGCCGCCCGGCGGGGCTCCCGCCCCCAGAACAACCTCCTCGCGCCCCGAAAATGTGTTTCCCGGCAAAAAGTGCCGAACTATCTCACTGACCCCCTCGAAGGGCCCTAAAGCCCTCAGCCAGCATCCCGGCTTCCCCAGGTACACGGTCCTTTGAAAATGCCCCTTGCTCTAGGACGGATTTTTTCCCTAATTTTCCTAAGGAGAAATTTTGGTGTTYGGGAGGAGAGGAAGGGCTGCTGAGAGGGCCCTTCAAGACCGCAGCGCGCCCTGGTCTGGTGAACAAGTCGTGCAGGTGCTGTGCCCTCCTTCGAGCCCAGGGACACGTGCCCGCATCGCAGAGCAGTGGCAGACACGCCATGCGCAAGACGCTCTCCAGGATGTCTGCTTACCAGTTATCATATGTTGTATGTTCTGGAAAATTCCTTTCTCCTCGCTTCTACTTATTTCTGCTGCTTCCACAYGCCAGTAACAGCAGAAAGCTGAGTTGGCCTCCACAGGCCAGCCCAAAGCCAGACTTAGCAAAGCACAGCCTATGTCTCACATGGTTCATGAAGGCTATTGTACACTAGAGGCCCAAAACACACTAAAAAGGCTACTGTCTGCTATGACACACACACCAAAGCTGCCTGACACAGCCCACAAACTCCCTTGGGTTTTTTTTTTTTTTTTCCTCTGGCCAGGCACTGGTTTTCAGGCTGTCGCTCGAGTTAGTCTTAGTCAAGCTCAGCCTCCGCTGGCATGCAGCGTCCCCTGAGGCCGCCTGGTACCATGGGCAGGTCCTGGGGAAGCACCCGCTGCTGCAGGCGCAGGGACACGGGCGGCACCACGGCAGACACAGCGAGTGGGCCGGCACCAGGACGCCTCCTTTCCCGGGGCTCCCCGAGCAGGCCAGCCCCGCGGCCTCGCCTCCTGCGCCCGCCTGCTCTAGGCCCAGCTTTTGAGTAGCGTTAGAGCTGGACCAAAGCCGGGCTGTGAGAATTCCACTGCCTCGCTGCTGGCCACAGGCCCTGCAGCGCTGCCCTACGGGGAAATCGGGGTGCCTGACCATGGCTCCCTGCTGAGGGAAGCGCCTCCTCTTCTCCATTCGGGCGTTTGGTGCTTCACGAACCTGTGCTCACGAAGCTGCTGCCTCAGTCGCTGCGGCCAGCGTGGCGGCTGTCCCTCGGCCCGTGCGCGTGGAGCACCCGTGGAGCACGGAGGGCAGGCGCAGCCCGGGGCACGGCAGAGCCGCTGCCCGCCCCGTGGCGCCCCGGGCCGGCCCTGCCCGGCAGCGCCGA